TGGACGAGGGGCTGCGGGGCCGGACGGGAAAGGAGAGCGGGAGAATCTTCGGCTACCACGGAGGAAAGAAAATGCGGGACGGTTTATTCAACGGCGAAAGTTGAGGGGGACAAGCTTTCTAAGGCCGGGTCCACAGCTGTTCGCGAGTAACTAGCCAAACATGTCCGTCGACACTGTGCACGGTTTTGCGAACAGCAAGCAGAGAACCCATCAGCGAACAGTGTTCGTTCGGGGGTGTACAGTTAGCCTATCGCATCTTGGCCGACTATAGTTCGACGGAGAAAAGACTTCGTTTGTCTTAAAAGCGAAAATGTCAGGGAGGCAAGGGAACACTTCCACTGATGATGTTCGGACGGTTCTGAGACCAAATGTGACTTTCGCCCCTAGGCCTCCGTGTTAGATATCAAGCCATCGTTCAATGGTCCTGTTGGGGGCCGTTTAATGGCCAGGCTGAGAAATGTGGGTTTGATTGGTCAGTTTTCATCAGCCAAGACGTGACAGGCACACTGTACCATCAGTGGACCTGTCCGTGAGCTCGAAACGTGTCTGCACGTGCCTGTAATGTTGAGTATTGAACGGACAAGTGACTAACTACTTGTGACCAACTAGCGAGCTCTAGTGAATAGGACACTTTTCTTAGTGGCAGCTCCCGAGTAGTTCGCGTAGCTGCTTGCGAGCAGTGGGAGAGAGTAGGGTAAAACGGAACACCAATGTTTTTCGTAGATAACGAGCTCGTATCGAGCTGGTGTTGCGTGAATAGCCCTAATAAGTTCTTCGTATAGTTTGTGACCGACTGCGGATCAGTGCACAAGTATCATCTACGGAAAACATTGGTGTCTCGTTTTACCCTACATTCCTCTATTCTTCACTTTGGACTAGGATTAGTATGTACACCGAATAAGTATTCCTTCGGCAGCCACGTCCGTTTTGGCATTGCGCTGCCAAGACATCCCTTTCGAAGAGAAGGTGAAGCAAGTTTTCAAGATTTTCTGATATTCTATTGATTGACTAATTTCTGGGATGCGAAGGTCTGTCGGTGTAACAGATACTTTGCTAGCGACTCGATTCGAATTTCTTTTGTACATCTGTTTGTAGATCTTCAATAAAATATTTGTAACCGAACTTCGTATAACATTTTCCTTAATATTTAACTATGACAATGAAGTTTAATCTAACGAATGTTTCTCCTGAAATCTCGTTTTAAAAGGCGACGAGACTTGTCAACCAAACCACTACTAGCTACAGGCCAAAACATATCCTTTATTTTATTACCCAAAAAATCCTCCCAATGTCTCTACACTCATCCAATATTCTCTTCATCGTCGTTTATCATCGTTATACCGAAAAAAACGGTCGCAAGCACAAAGATAAACACACACTGAAAAGAAACGAACCTACATTCGTTTGCTCTCGATCCCAGCTTAGGAAAGTTTCTGCTAATTGCCTGGATTTCGAGCGTCAAAGAACATTCTGCCCGCGCCGAAATATTTCTTCCTTTTTAATTAAATTCCCGCTCGGCGATTCACGCTTGAAATTGTTCCCCAGGCAGCTCGCCCGAAGAAATTAAAATAAAAGCGGCGATCTCTTTGAGCCCTCCGGTTCCCGGGCCCTGTTCAAAGCTATCGGAGAATCGCTACGAGAAATTTCGCCAATTTCTTCGGAGCGTGTCCACATCGGCGACGTTTTAACTCGGCGAAAAGCTCTCGTCGGCGACGAGAAACGGAGAAAAGCGCGGCGGGTTACGTGCAAGAGTGCTCGAATCAAATGTGCGCACAACAAAAGGTTACACACCAGTCCAGGGGGCAGCTAAGAGGGAAACGGAAACGGGAATGGACACGGAGAAGACAGGTGGACGCGAATAGGTACATTTCCGCTCAAAAGTGATCGGACACTTTCTTAACACTAGAACTACTAGACGGACCAAAACGATCTATTTCTGATTTCTTCTTTTTGCAATTATTAAAAAGATAACGTGTTTACAATACGTGAACACAACTGCAAGTTAAACAGTTAGTTGCCGCGACCTCTTTGAGAAGTGTGTGTCCTCCAGAGGGGTCGAAAAGGTAAGTTATCTGTTATCTGTTACACTCGTTATAATACAAAATCTTGTACGTTCTTTATGACGAGTATATTCGCTAAAAACGCTTAATTGGTTGATAGAAGTCTGAATAGATGCACTCTTAGAATTTCTATAGAGGAATTTTAAAGAAGTCAATTTGACACCTTGGTAGTTTTAACCTTGACGGTCCGGAAAGTTCTTGGTTTTTCACGGTGGAGCTTGCGACAATGTCCTTTAACCCCTTCTCCTATAATAACATGTCAGACTCGCGATGATGTTCAAGCAAATTCGACAAATCTGAACGTTGGTTAGTTATTTTTCATACAAATGAAATGTCACTCGTCTGCTGTCAATTTTTAATCTATAATCTACAAATTACTAACGATGAAGTAGTTCTATCGAGCATGATTGTGAGATAAAAGATAGAATAACGGATTGACTCTTTGGCATATTATTTACTTTCGCTATCAAATTCATTTACCATTCTATTATCAACAATTTGGAAGAAACATAACTAAATTTTCCATTCCAATGAAAGTGCGAATTTATTTTGAAGATAATAAATTAAGAATAGCAAAATAGCTGTTTGCTTTGATCTGTGGACATTGAACAACATTGAGTTTTTTTACATTAAATTAACCTAGAGTGCGTCATCACGTCCTATTGCGAATAACTGTAGCAAAAATTCGTCGACTGTTTAATCATTCGTGTAAACTGAACTTCATCGTTCAATTAAAATGGTTTAAATTACACATGATAATTATAAGTGACTGAAAACTTTGTTGTATTGCCGGCGACTTTGATAATAAAAATTTATTTTGGTTGCTTATAACTGTCAGAAAAGAGGATGAGAAATCCTTAATGAATTTCAATGAATTTTGTGCATTTTAGATTCTATCTTATACGAAAGAACATATTTTGCTAATGATTAAGACAATATACACATTTGTATCTCTATTTTTATTCTTATTCGTGGCATCCTGATTATGAATTTTTCATTTTGTGATCAAACTTGAGGCGGGTTTTTAAAATTAAAAATGTCAAAATATAAACACTGCACTAATGTTATAACTTATAATATCATTATTAAAATACAATTGTTGCATCATAATAATATTACGTTCATAATAATATAGTATTTATATTTTACTTACAAGTAAAACATAATTTCATGAAAGAATAAGAATAAACTTTTATCTATTAAAACATTCCAGTAATGCAACCGTCCTCTATAATAGCATTGGAATGCTTACGTAGAACGTATTCACATAACAGAATTTAACATTAAAAATCATTAATTAATAAATAGTAATAAATAATAACAATAATAATGTATATTAAACATATATATATATATTAAATATAATAAATATTTATGATAAATATTAAGTATAATAAATAATATATATTTTAGATTTTCAAAAAACAGTAGATAAGTATCGAGATACTTTTGAGCGGCAGTGTACATACAACGAAAATAAAGGTATATACACATTGAAAGACGTAAGCTGCTGGGCGGTCTGCTACAAAGAAGCAAAAAACGATGAAGAACGAGCAAAACTGAACAACGGAGAACCAGGGAGGAAAGTACATAAGCGGGCGTCGTTGCTGGCGAACATTTGTTGGATGAACTTAGAACAGCGGAGAGAACGAAATAAGAGAACAAAAATCAAGAAAGATGGGACGGTAACGGAAGAAATGTATCTCAGTGGCGAAAATCGAATTATATAGTTCGAATTTGCCTGGTCAATGGCACACAAGTGTCACCCCCCGCAAAAGGAAAAGAAGAAAGAAAGACTGATAAGAAAGAAGAATTGGAAAAGTAGATATGGATCGGCTAGTGGCACGATCCTTTGGCGATCAGCGACGGATGATTCAATGGCTCCGAATAATAGTGACTTAACTACTATTTTTGAGTTCTTGAGGAAAAAGCTTATGTGAAATGTTCTTGGATTAATTAGATATTAGTATTACAAAGTTAGTATTACAACAGTGTTATTGCAGTATTGATATTGTAACGTTAATGTTAGAATATTAATATTATAACGTTAACATTACACTATTATATCATTAACTACCAATATCAGTAATTGCGACATTATCCAATTAATCCAAGAATATGTCGCAAAACCATTTTTCCTTCGAGAACACAGAAATAGTAGTCACACCACTATTATTCCAAGCCACTCAATCGGCAATTAGCAACGTCAATGTTAGTGGACCCAGCTTCGGCGAAGCCTTCGACCGCGATCGAGGTTCGGCGATCCGTGTTACCGCGGTCCAGAGACGACAAACCGTGCGTGCCGCGTGATCGATTTAAATCAGACATCGAGATAATTGGCTGCGAGTCCTGCTGAGACCACCGATCCGTTAGGAAGCTGGAGAAAATGGCCCTGAGACGTGTCACGTGAAATACACGCCTGAAATCAATTGGCCAATCGAGACTGACGTTCGGCGATCGTTAAATCAGACTCAACCCGAATTGTTCTCACAGGAAAACGAAATACCAGGTAACACGTGATAAAAACAATTAATTAGAAACAGAAATATTCTTCAATGAAATCAACGATTCACAGACACTAGCCAAGAAAAGCCGAAAAGGACCACGATCGAGTACTTAGGGTCTAGGGCCATTCTGAGCAGCTCCCACTGGTTCGTCCACTGTGTCTGATGACGAAAACGCAGACCTCATCGTCGGATACCTGAACATTCGTTTACGATCTTCCGTGAATCATGACACCTAAATCTACATACAAGATTCTCAAGAGCAACACACGCCACGTTTAAGGAATCAATACACCGATCTGCAGAACAATAATCAATGGTCCTCAAATTTTCCTCGTTAGCAACACCAATGAAGGATCAGAACCGCGTGAGAACCAGGGATTGAAAAGGTTTCGAAAGTAAGTGTTCGAGAATTGAAATGAAGTCATAACCGTTATTAGGTGCATTGGTTCTGAGCTATATTGCAGCCATATGGGCCATATTGGAATATCGGTTCTATATTGGTTCTATAACTATCATTTTTCGCATCTGCGTTTCTTTTAGAACCGACGAGTGGCAGTAATAACTGAATCGAGGCTTTCGGGTATAAGCCGTGTCCCCTAGGAATTATATCCCGATGAAACGCCATCATCGCAGCTGCCATCATTAGGGGTCTAAGATGAGTATCAGTGCGTCTTATTGTTAAACCCTTAATGATGCCAGCTGGGATGATGGCGTTTCGTAAATGTTTTAATTCCTAGAGGACACGGCTTATATCCGAAAGCTTCGATTTAAAGAGATTTTCATTCATTTTAGTTACAACGGAATTTGTATTAATTTTAGTATTACATATCAGTATTACTGTTATTCATCGGTTCTGAAAGAGATGCAGAAGCGAAAGCTAACAGTTATAGAACCGATAGAGAACCCGTATAGCCCAGAACCGATACACCCAATAACAGTTACGACTAGACCGCGAACCTTTATGCATTCCCGATAAGTCTGAAAGCATAAAATTGCACGAAACGCGCAGAATTTCATAAAATATACAATATATTCATAGTTTACTGCTTCTCATAGCTTTTATTATGAACAATCTTTTTCTATCGTCATTCTATTTCTTCAATTACCTTCGTAAAAATTTGAATTCGCATAAACATCCACAATCTAGTTATGACTCTATTCCGGTTCTCCATAGGTTCTCAAGAACCAAGACCGATACAATTGTTTTCAACCCCTGGCGAGACAGCCGAGAAAAGAAACAGAACTGAGAGAAACCAGGCATAAAAGACGGTTAGCAAGAACTGTGCAAGCGAGAACGGAGTTGGGCAACGTTCGCAGTATCTCTTTAGGGGTCGTCAGATAGCAACGAACGGCAGAAGACAGGGGGAACGGTGCTGCGTTTTCGTCGTCGCACGGTCGCGCGTGTAGGTAAGTAGGTAGCGGCTAGCGTAGCATAAAATGAAACCTACTTCGATCCAGAGATTTGTAAAGCCCACCTCGGCCATTTTTGACTTTGCATATTCGATTCGTATCGCTCCCCGGTCGGAGGAGAGGAGTAAGGATCCTTGGAGAGTGGCCATCGCCTGGGCCGCGTAGCGAACGTCTTGGTATTCGACAAAGGCCACCGGCGACCCTCCCCCCGTGTGCATACGAAGCCGGGAGAAACCAGGAAAACTGTGCATAAATAAGAGAAGCGTACAATACGTGCTCTAGTTAGTTATGACAGATACTCTGGTAGAAAAAGAGAAAAGGGGGCTCTGGTGTTGGGTCTGGTCTGGTCGTGTTTCGATTATGCTTTTGGCAATGTTGCTGATAGGATAGCTACCAGCTGGTGTTGCACGAAGAAGAAACGATTCTTGGGGCGACGAGCTAATATGATGTATTAGCTAATAATGATAATTGGAATTCAGTGTGATAGAGGGTGTCGAAGTAATAGTTGGCCAGAGTTTGGTATCGTGTTACACTGTGAGTAGAAAGGAAGTTATACAATTCGCCTCTCACGTTAGTGCCATCGGTTTGTGGCTTAAAAGTGCAGAGGGATGGGGGGATTCTTGCACTCACGACGCTCGGGCCTTAGCGCGCGCTAATAATGACCATGCGTCGAAAGCCGAGTGTCGTGAATGGAAGAGTCCCCTTGCTTCTGTGCACTTTTAGCTCAGTAGTCGATGGAGCTAGCGTGAGAGGCTAATAGTAGGTTACTTTTGATGTTGATTTTAGAAGAGCATTGTGACAATTAGTCTGAGTGGTATTATGGAATGTTGTTTCTGGTATGAAATGTTTGGATTGGTATTGGTTTGGTTTTGAACGTGGTATTTCTGTTGTGAATATTATTTGTCTTAATGCATTTGAGTGGATTAGAATAATAGGCTGAGTACTATTGTTGAGTGCTTGAGAAGAAGGTTTTGGGAAATGTTCTTGGATTGATTAGATACTAATGTTACAATTGTTAATATTAATGATTAGTGTGATTAATAAATTTGCGATGCTTGTATTTAATTAATCGAAAATAATGTTATTAACAATGTTGTTATTAATATTAGTTATTAATGTTAGTAATTGTATTAGTGTTTAACTAATACGAGAACACTTCATGAAAGCCTTTTTTTCTTGAGAAATGTTTGTTTGACACTTCCTTTCCTGGAAAAGTTTGGCCACCTATTTCTTCGACATTCTGTATAATCTGATTATAAATTAATATTATATTGCTGAATTTTTCAATTGTAAGTTACTATGTGTGTTTGTTCATTAGGATTCATTGTAACCATTTCAATTTCAGTTGTAAATTAGTAACAATTAAAGATTCCAATCGAATCAATTATAACATTTGAATCATCGTCAACAATCTGTAATCAGATTATACTTTGTCGAACTCTGCGGTAAGCCGATTTGTCCAAAAGGTTCGTTTTTGAGTTCGTATGTACAATGGAGTTCGTATGTGCATTCACAAACGAAAATTCGAGACGAGCCGATTAAAAATGGTCTCTCGTGTTTCATTAATGCATCGACTATCAAGTTAGCAATCATCGAATTATCGAAACTTCAAAATCAAAATTAAATCTAATTTTCAATTTCACATTAAAGCTATGTTTGTCATCGTCAAATAAGTTTCTCCTTTTAAAAAGTCTTTACCTAGAATTTCCTTATTAAGATTGTATTTATGCAATTTCACTGAGGTTTCTCTTTTCAAAAATCAGTAACCAAAATTTCTTTCTCAAGCTTCAATTCTTACAAATCCAAAGATTACTTGCTTCAATTTCAATCAAATTTCTCCTTTTAAACATCTTTAACGGATATTTTTTTTCTCAAGATTCTGAGAAAAGAAGATTGCTTTTACTAAACTTTAAAAAAATTTCCGGAACAATTTTCGTGCGGTCTCGTTCCGAGAAAGTATTCGAGCCCGTCCGTGGCGTGTACGAAAGACCGATTACCGAGGAATTTATAACTCCGGCCGTAAGGGGCAATTGGATCATTAGGATGTCATTAACGGGGAATATCGGTATCGATTACGCTTGATTTAGCGCGGCTCCGCCAGGCACCGCGTAACCACGGTAAATTTTCGGTTCCGCGAGCTTACGTGGTCGTGTGGCGATTCGAAGTCTCGCGGTCACACTTATTGTCAATAAATAAAAAATTATAATTTAAAGATCAATCAAATAATCAGTTAATAAAATAACTCTTCTAGGAATATCTTTTTTCCAAAATATAATTTTTTTTCTCAGAATATTCCCGATTTCTTCTTTTACAATCATTGAAGAGATACAAGCGTTTCTCAGAGAAATTATTAAGAAACCTGATTTGATAATGTACAGACTAAAATATAAGCGAATGAAAATCTCAATAATATCTCAAGAAGTATAAAAGGAAGTTAATTTGACTGTTCGATAGTTCTAATGTTAACCATTTTCGAACGAGGATTTTTGCGAGTATTAACACTAGATTATAAAATCCCTCGATAGGATGGATACTGAATTTCACAAACATTGTTTAGTAAACATTTATGTCGACTTTGATTGATGTAATTGTAAGTATCTTCATCCTTTGTTGTTGAAGCTTAAATTTTCAAGATTTATATGAACGAACATCTATTTTTCTGGAAACAATAGAACATACAATAGGTATAAGATTGTAAACTAGTGTTAAAAATTTTCATACAGAGCCAAATTGAATATTGTAATTATTAAATACCAGGACATAAGAAAGTTAAGTATGTATTCATCGTTTGTAGAATAATTGACTTTTAGCATTCGAAGTGTTTCCAAAGCACAACAGTTTCCTGAGGTAAAGAATCAACATATTGTGACTTACAATTAAGTAGTTACGTCTAATTTCATGTAATACTGATAATGCTATTTTTCAAATTTATACATTTATACATTTGTAACAAGATTTAGAAAAATATTTATCAGTTTTGCTTTCAAATAAATCATTTATTACTTGGACGTAGGAAACCAAAAAACTCCGAGTTACTATCACTTTAGTCGAAAAAAGTTCGAGTGTAAAGTTTAAATTCTTTGATTGCGTTTTTAGATCCTGAAAGACCATTTTTGGCAAAGGCAATATGGCGGCATTTGTCCATAAAGAGTCAAAGGAAACGAAAAAAGGAAAAAGAAACGTGAATTTGGCAACGGCTTGGTGCACGGAACCTGCTTGGGTCAGTGTGTCGACCATGCTTGTTTCTCTTCGTGCGACACCTTGTGCGGACCAGCGTGTCGTGGTGTTAATAAACGCTTTTAATGTCTTAATTACTGATATTGATTACGGGTACTAGCATGGGTGCGTTTTTACGGCTACGAGCTACGATCGGTGGTTGGGGATGGGATCAAGTATAAATTCGAAATAATGAATTAATTAATATCTAATAATATTATATATGATGTAAGTAAATGAATTACATTATAACATGTTATGTAATATATTGTATATTGTATATTATATATTATATATTATATATTATATATTATATATTATATATTATATATTACATATTATATATCATCATTATAATAGAATCAATTCATTAATTGAAGAAGCTTTCTCACAAAACTATCATTGACAGAAAGTGTTCGATAAAAAGAGGTAATGTGATCGATACAGAAACGATTATACAGTATTTAAAAAAATGTTGTAAGTGTCAAACACCAAATTTTTCGGAAGGAAGGAAAAAAGTTACTCAATGTTAAACGTACCAGTGATGTCATCTTGATGTATTATTCTATAGCGACTATACATACAAAGGAAAAATTGCTATAACCAAACAAACAAAATCTCCCAATTTTAGAAATAATAGGAAACCAGAAGGATCGATTACATTTATAGAAAATATTTATTTGAATTGATTTCGAATTTCCAACTTTCTCCATCGTAGTAATTATCATTACGTCTATATATAATTAATGATAAACAAGTACTGAATAAATGATTGAACCTTTGCTTCTAAGCGATCAACAAAATTCAATTTAATTAATATATAATTAACAGACAATAATAATATAATTAATAAAATTTGCAGCTTAATAAGTGGACCAATTTCATCGTCCAATGCATCGAAACCATGCAATATACTTGATCCCGTCTCCACTCGTGGTAAAATGATCAGCGGATGTTCATGATACTGTTTGGAGGCGGTGCTGTTAGTAACAAGCTTTCAATGTTAACATCTCGATACGTGGTAAGGCTGCCTAAAACCATCGAGAATGGTACTGAAACGATTAATGGAAAATAAACAAGACTGATCCCATCGGAATACTCCAATAATTCTGACAGCTTTTCGTAAAAATGAATAACCTCGAACACGTATAAATATTAGGTACCGGAAATATTCGTGTGGTTTACTTGGTAGTAATGAATTAGTGTCCGATTTCAATTAGTATTTCACTAGTTTAACCCTCTGCACTCGAGAGGTGACCCTACCGAGCATTTACTGAGCTTAGTATGTAATCCTTGTAAAAATTGTAACAATACATTTTTTCGATGTCTTCTACTTTGAAAATATCAATAATTGCAAAGTAAGAGAATTAATATCGGTCATTTTTACGGGTACGGTAGTTTTAGTGTTAATTGATGCAATTGCACAAATATGTATCGTATTTGTTTATTTTGAAACCTCCAATTTCCAAGATCTAAATGAACGAACATTAATTTTTCTAGGTACAGTAGAATAAAGTGTGTCCATAAATCTAGTGTTAACGGACAAAATTGGTATTAGGAACAATATATGTATGCCGTTGGTATCATATAAAATAAAATTATTATACCAAACCATTCTCTGCGTTTAAATTTGAATTTAAGGTCTCACACGAATTTTTTCTGGTACCTAATGTTATACTTAAAATATATGTGTTATGTATGTAAGCAATAAGAAAATACTTTGCTTTTGTACAATAAGTAGATAACAAACAGTCGTTAGTGTTCGTATCAACTGAATAATCTCGTGTACAAACGAACTAAACGATGCACCGTTTCTGTAGAATGATAGAATCCCTATAACGATTGTTCATTCATGTTAAACGTGTAATTTCTGGTAACTATGGTCTTAACTCGTTACGTGACAAACTAATCATCCATCTGTTTTGTATCAGACAAACACTTGTACAGTAATCCTGCTCCATTATTTAATACTAAACTCTTAAATTATTAAACTGTCCAATAATTGTAATATATAAAATAATAGTTAT